ATTATTTGTTTTTGCGGGCACTTTGACTTTATTATTTATGCGTCGCTATGGCAACAAGAGGTTGTGTAAATGATCCAAACATATTCTGTTATATTTGTTGTAAATTTGACCTAAGTGAAGGTATTGTTTTTCATCCCGATTTGTAAAAGATCCTTACGTGATAAAAAAGGAATATTATTTTCGCAATCTGCGTAGCTGAATTATGGGAAATCCGTTATTAAAACCAAAAAACTTTTATGACGTTTAAATTCGCAGGCCTATGTAATCGATTACAACCATTGAAGGAAGGAAGAAATCTAATCTCTCTTTGTTTTCAAAAATAAAGAAAAGATCTTTACTCTCAGAAGACGTTCACCTTCGATACTAATCTTGGAAACTCAATATACTTACGGTCTTGTACAAAATGTTTACATGTTTTGTAATAGATAAAATCATTATTATTAAAATGGAGTACAAATGCACTTAGCGCTGTCAAACTGAGAAATGCATGTTATATTAATCATCTACTAATGTAATTTATATAATGAGATACGTTATATGGACATCATGAACGATTTATTAGAACAGCAAACAATTTTATCAGACATCTGTAGAAAGATGTGCAATTCATCATTTCATTTATCACAACAGAACCTTACCAAAAACATATATAATGACAAAATATAACATCAACGTTTTATAAATAGCATCTGTAACCTTATATCAGTTCATATTAAAGATTCGGTACTTGGTTGTTCCTCCTCGTACTCTAATAACCTCCGCAATGCGACGTGGCATGCTGTCTATGACTTATTGATGTAACCCATCGTGGTTTTATCCCAACTTGTCTCTAGAAGGCGCTGTAACTCAGCTACAGTAGCTGGTTTAGGGTCGTAGTTAGTAGTTTTCCAGCTCAGTTCTGCCTAACAGATCTCAATGAGATTTCAATCTGGAGATCTTGTTGGTAATGGCAATCTTGTAACGCCCTCCTGGTCGAGCTAAACCTGTGCAATAGGTGCACTGTTGGCAGTGGCATTGCCATCCTGGAATACAAAGCTATTGTCAAACCTTTCCCTAGCATATGGCAAAAATATCGTCTCCATGTGATGCCTCTAGGAGGCGCCATTGATGTTACCCTGGAGGATATAAAGAGCAGTTTTTCCACCATGATGAATAGCTGCCCAAACATGTACTGCACCACCTCCTGTGGGAAAGACAGTCTTCCCTCATGTGTTCTCCAGGCAAACGACAAATATGAATCTTACCATCAGCTTTAACAAGCCGAAAACAAGACTCATCTGAAAAGATGACATGTCACCAGTGTTCTAACTGTAAGTTGGCATACTGTCTTGCCAAAGTAACATGATGATGACGGTGAGTTCTGGTTAATATCGATTTGTAGATAGCCCTTCTTGCAAAATAACCTTGTTTGGTCATTTTACTCTTCTTCTGGATACCCTGGAATGAATGCGTTCTGGGATTCCTGTCGTAAGGTGCTGCTAAACCTATTTCAACCTTGACTCTGTTAATCTGATCAAAACACAGTCATCTCGGGCAGTAATTGTTCGGTGTATACCAGCAGAGTTTCCTGAAACAACGTTTCCGTTAGTCCGATGACGTTTCAGGATTCTGGATATAGTACACTGGGAATTTCCTACTGTTCTGGCAATGTCCGTTTGCTTCATACCATTTCATACCCTATAATTTCTGGCACGTGACGAGGCATGACTCTACACCAAGTACGGATAATTTGTCTGAACAAAGCATTGTTCTATTTCGAAAAATATTAAACCAGAAGCACACCATTTTATCCAAAATAGGTGTGAATGTGTGTTTTGACGAACAAATGCTCAAAACAGCTTTTTCAGGCCAGAATAACAACTCGTACATGTTTGCAAACATTTTGACCAGGACTGTAGGACTTTTCACGCAGACTGAGATGTGACTATCAGTAAAGGATCAGATTAAGTTAAATAATATTCATTTCGAAGTGGAAAGTAACAGTTTAGAGGATTATAGAGTTTTGTTTGTTCGTCGAATTTTGCACAAAGTTGCTCAATAGACTATTTACTTTATCGAGCTCCGACTTCTAACCTTTTAAGCCTTGATGCTCATCTGTGAGCCGCCGAGGGACAATAGAAACTGATAACAATAAATTATTGCAGAATACGAGAAATATAAGTGTTTGAAATATAAGAGTCAAATTTGGAAAATTACGCAAACAGAGAGGACTTTCTGCAGCTAACTTGAACAAGAAAAAAATCTGACGCTTTGAAGACAACCAATCAACAACCTGTGAACATCAAAACCAGGACTGGAGTTGTTGCTAAGCTGAATGATCATAAGTACACCAAGTCAATCGTTTAACCGTTGAAGATTTAATCGTAGCTGTCAGGGTGTAAAAACCAAAACAAAAATACAAAGATATAATTCTTTCTTAGAGTAAATAACAATTGAAGAAAGCTTACGTCAGTGATGAGAAAGATGACAAAATGGCATTTAATTATTGAACAGATGCTGCTAAATCATTCAATTAAATAACTACACAGAAATCATAAACATTTCAAAGTTT